GGACTATAGGCGCCCACCACAATGCCTGGCTATTTTTTTGGTTCCAGCCGTCATTGTTGTTTGGTGGGCCTGGGCTGGATTTGAACCGTCCAACTCAGGTGTATGTGGCTGGCGCCGTAGCTGCTTGAGCCACATGTGTCGAGCCAAGATGGCCTCTTTGATGGTGATTTTTGACTATTCTGTTAAAGAAACTTCATTTTCACCAGCCACCATATCCTGGGTGACCTCTGTGTCTATCAGTTCCTGGGAGATAATGAGCTCATCATCTACAGTGACAAAGTCCTGGAAATTTACTTTGTTTGGGACACAGGTGGCAATAGCCACTGTGTGTCACAACTTTTTGATAGCAATGTCTGGTTCACTGCCTGCTGCTTCAATAGAATCTGTAAATTCCATAGGGATGATGCCTGCCTTCTGCCAACATTTCACCTCTGTGGACTGTTTGACCACCATGCTGCAGCAATCATGTCAGTGGCCTGCTTGATATCCATCTTTTCTTATCTTCATTGGTTTTGAGCTTGAGGAGGAGCTGTTTTAGAAGGTGGCTCCTGTATAGCACTTTTAGGGTGTGAATTATGCCAAGATTCAGTGGCTGCAGGACAGCAGTAAAGTTTGAGGGCAGATACCCCACCTGAATCCTTTCTAAGTGTGGAAGCATATTATGAGCAAAGCAGGTGTCAATGAGCAGGAGGATCTGTCGTTCTGCTTGCTTCATACTGGCATCTACTTGCATCAGCCACTCATTAAACAGATCCCTTGTCATCCATGCCTACTGATTGGCTGGGTAATCACAAGGGAGGGAACGAATGTTCTTGAGGCAGTGTGGGCTGGCTGACCTACCAACAATCAATGGTCTCATTTTTTCAATCTCTGAAGCATTGCAACAAAAGAGTGCTGTCAACCTCTGCTTTGCTTTCTTGCCCCCTCTACAATGGTCTCCTTTAGTAGCAAGTGTGTGCTGGGGAAGCAACTAGAAAAACGCTCCTGTCTCATCAGCATTAAAGATATCATTGGGGTTGTAGAGTCAGGATTCAGTTTTATAATTTCCCCTGCATGCCTCTCATTAACCTTATCTATTTGTAAACCATTCATTAACCTGTCACTATCCTCTCTACAGACTGCTTTCAAATCTATTCAACCAGCCCACACTTGCTTGAAAATTGTCATAACCAAGCATATTGGCCAAGTTTAGTGCTTTATTCCGAATGACAGAACCAGTCATGGGAATGTTTTTGGCATGGATTTCTTGAAACCAAGCACAAACAGCTTTATCAATGTCATCATAGAGAGCATTCCTCATCCTTTTCTACTGGGGTCCCACAGATCCCTCCCGAACCTTTTCTTCAAACTTAGCATGATCCTTTAAGAACACAAAGTGGAAGGAGTAATACCAAGTTCTTTTGCCACATTGCCTTTCTTCTTGCTGGAGTTTACAGCCTCTACAACTTTGATTTTCTCTTCCAGGGAGAATTGCTGATGTTTCTTGTTCCCCTCGTTTGTCATTTCCGGGGAATCAGGGCTGGGCCACAACTCACAAGGTTATCTCCGTTCCTCCTCTCAACTTGTTTTGGCACAAATGTAGAAAACTGAAAAAACAAAACGGAATACCTGTCAGGAACCAAAGATAATGGATTCCCCTAAAAGATGAGTTCAGATGTTTAAAAAGCCTATTAGGAAATGATAATGTAAGGTCAAAGTTAAAAGAAGATAGGATTCATACTACTGACTTTTTGTAGACACTATTTATAAATAGTCTGAATATGTGAAACATTCCCTATCCATAGAAGGGGTTATGTGGATAATCACTTAAATTTTCTAAGCCTCCTTCAAAATGGGAATAACAATGTCAGCTCTGCCTACTATGAGAACAGATTGAAATAAAAGGTGGTAAAAAGAACTTTGCAAATAGCAATGCATTATATAAATTTAAGGAGTTGTTACCCAACTTGTTTTATGGATATAGAAACTGAGGCTTGGGAAAGGGGCCAACCCATGTTCATATGGCCTAGATTTCTTGACTCAGATTAGTGTTTTTTCTGCTAGTCCGTGGTCCTGCTTGAAACTCCACCAGAATGAGATCTTCAAAGCTCTATCACTACCTGGCTTGGAAAGATTTTCATTGTGGGAAGATGTTTCCAGCAGCCATACATTTATTTACAGGTGCCAGGAGGTAAAGACACTGTAACGAACCACAAAGTGAAATATAATCCTTATGTTTCCTTATATCCTCAAAGTGAATATATTCCTTATGAAATATAAAATGTTATAGGGGAGATAATAAGTAAACAGCTAAATAATTCTAGAGTGTGCTATGTGCTATAAAGAAACAAAAACAAAGACTATAATGGAGAAGAAAAGGGGAAGATCTATTTACAAAATATGGTCAGGAGTTGCCTAAGAAGACAGCTGAGATTTCATGAAGAGTAGAGGAAAATGGCAGTCCTGCAAAGGACAGAGTATCAGGAAACTCTCAAAGCAGAAAAGAGCTTGAGGTATTCATGGAACTGAACTTATCTGTCTGACTCCAAGTATATGACAAAGGTTGAGAACAGGACCATCCAAAGATGCTATAGGAAAGATTTGGTATTTCAAGGGCAACGGAAATCCACTGAAAGTTTTCAGGCAAGGGAGGGTCATGCTCTGTTTTGCATTTTTAAAAAGATCACTATAGCTGTTTTGTGGAAAATGAATCGAAGAGGGAAAGAGACCGATATTAGAATGCTATTGCTGATAATTTGAGTGAGACATGATGGTAGGAGTCATGGGAAAGTACACTCCCCCTCTGGGCCTGTTTTTTTCATTTAAAAATGAAGAGGTTGTACTTAGCCAGGGAGGGCATATCAGAATCTGACATGCAGGCCCAACTTAGGACTGACTGAATGAAATCTCTATGAGGAAAACTCCAGCCTGGGGCAACAGAGACTCTGTCTCAAAAAAAAGAGAAAAGAAAAAAAGAGGAAAAATTCTCAGAGTGATTTTTTTTTTTTCTGGAAACAGAGCTTCACTCTTTTGCTCACCCAGGTTGAGTGTTGTGGGCTTCATCATAGCTCACAGCAACCTCAAACTCTTTGGGCTCAAGCGGTAATCTTGTCTCACCTTCCCAAGTAGCTGGTACTGCAGGCACCTGTCACAACACCTGGCTAGTTTTTCTGTTTTTAGTAGAGACACAGTCTCACTCTAGCTTAGGGTGGTCTCAAACTCCTGAGATCAAGCAATCCGCCCATCCTGGCCTCCCAAATGCTAGGATTAGAGGTGTGAGAGTGATTATTATGTCTATGGTTATAAACCATGATATCTAAAGTTTCTTCCAGATTAAAGTACTGGATTCTAGGTAGGTCCTCCAAATTCAAATGCTTTTAGGTGTGAGGATGGTGAGTGAAAAAGGGATAAGGCATTTGAAGAGTGTGGTAATCTGTGTGCCCTGTCTAGAGGCATTAAGAATTTCAAATAGACAACTACCCACTCCCCCACCTAAGCTAGTCAAACAAAGCATGATTTAACCAGTAGCAGTTTTGATAATTACTTTTGTAGGCATTTTATCATGAGAGTCCTCAAAGGGGAAGAAAAGCTGCTGCAAATGTATGCTGCGACTGCCTCTGTTTTTACTGGAGGGCCGATTTTTACCACTACCTCCACACATCTAATATAGTCTTTTTTTTTTTTTTTTATTGAGACAGAGCCTCAAGCTGTCCCCCTGGGTAGAGTTCTGTGGCATCACAGCTCACAGCAACCTCCAACTCCTGGGCGCAAGCGAGTCTCCTGCCTCAGCCTCCCAAGTAGCTGGGACCACAGGCGCCGGCCACAGCGCCCGGCTATTTTTTTTTTTTTTTGGTTGCAGCCATCATTGTTGTTTAGTGGGTCCGGGCTGGATTCGAACCTGCCACCTTAGGTGTATATGGCTGGCGCCTTAGCCACTTGAGCCACAGGTGCCGAGCCGGCATCTAATATATTCATTCATGGCATCCTCTGTTTCAAGAACTGTGCTTGAAAGAGATGAATGAATGGAACATAGTGGCCCACTACCATTGAGCAGCTAGCCAGCTAAGAAGGCAGGGCAAACACTAGAGTGTGCAAAATATTGTAATAGAGGTTACAAAGTACTGTAGGGACACAGAAGTGTGGATAATCAACTGGGTGGGGCATGGATGGGCAGTGCGCTCCCAATCAGAAACAGTAATTATGCTGGCTCTTAAAGAATAAACATACAGGAATTCATGAGATGTAAGGAAATACATACTATGAAAGGCCATGAAGTACTACAGAAAATAAAATGTTGGGCAGCGCCTGTGGCTCAGGGGGTAGGGCACTGGCCCCATATACCGAGGGTGGTGGGTTCAAACCCAGCCCTGGCCAAACTGCAACAAAAAATAGCCAGGCACCTATAGTCCCAGCTACTTGGGAGGCTGAGGCAGGAGAATCGCCTAGGCCTTGGAGTTGGGAGGTTGCTGTGAGCTCTGACGCCACAGCACTCTACCAAGGGCAATAAAGTGAGACTCTGTCTCTAAAAAAAAAAGAAAATGTCATGGTCAGAAAAAAAAAAGTCTTTGGAGAAGAAAGCAAGGACAAAATCACAGAAGGTCCTCAGAATTCTAGCTTGATCCTGGGGCATTAAGAGGCCTTTGGAGGTTTTTTAAATGACATTATCAGATTTATACTTTAGAAAGAGTCCTTTAGTTGTAGAGAACCTACTAGGTTATGTCTACCTTCCTAAGGTAACCCTGTATCTGCAGATAAAATCAGGCTAGCCTAGGAGGCCATATATAGTTTGGATGTTATTTGAGAGCAACAGGAAACTACTGAAGGAATTTAAGGAAGGAGAAAGATGAATGCTCTGTAAAGAACTGAAGGGTATCACATAAAAAGTAGGGGTCTAGAGAAGAGATAATGGTGGCTTGGATTTGAGGAGATGGTAAGAAGTAGTTTGTAGCTATGTTTTTGAAAGCCTTGCTGATGGGTTGGATGCCACGTGTAGGAAGGAAAACATACAGAATTCTAGTTTAAGCCCGGAGCAATCCAGTGGATGGTGATGCTATTTACTGAGATAGGAATATCTACTGTGAAAGCATGATTTGTTAAGCACTTTACATGCTCAATACAGCTTATTTGTAGCAGTGCTTCGATTCAAACCCAGGGAGGCTCACAACAAAGTTCTATATAGCTTGTTCTCAGAACCCATATTGAGAACATGTGGAAAAAGAAGGAAGAAAGAGCCAAACCAGACAAAGGTTTAGTTCAAGCTAATAAGTTTGAATTTTACTCAAAGTGAATGAGACACTGAAGGACTTTAAGCAGGAAGTGACCTATAAGAAAGTGCAAAAAGATCAATCTGACTGCTTTGTGCAGAATAAACCAATAAACCTCTTGAAGGCCAAGAGTGGAGGAGGGGGGCAGAACTACATTTATTCATACAGGAGATGATGGTGGCTAGGTGGAGGTTGTGACAGAACTAGATGGAGAGATGTAGGCAGATTGTAAATATATTTGTAACTTAGTGGGAGGTAGAATAGGTACTTGTACCAATGCGGATAATCTGTGACATCGATGGGAAAGGACAATATCTGATTTCCAAAGCCTTTCCAGACAGTCACTCCAGGAACTCACTACCATTACTATCCGTGGGATAGTGATAGAGACGGATTGAGGGCAGATTACTAGAATGAGAAGGGAGACTAGATGCAGCACTAAGTATGAGCCCTATCCTGAATAAGCGGGTACAAACTGACAGCTGAGGTCAGGCTTTGAACACCGAGCGGAGGAAAGCGTGTTGCCGCACGCTCTCCAGCGCCGGACGTGACTCTGAGAGGTGAGGCGGGCCTTGACCTCTCACGCTGGGCACAGCCCCGCCCCTGTTACCTGAACGCCCACAGCAGTGCCCAGGAGCGGAGCGGCCAGGGCTTCTTACCGCGGGCAACCACGGTTTTCACCTCCGCCCCGCACCTCGGGCCGGAAGCAGTCCGTTCGTTTAGTAGCCCCACTCCAACCTAAGCAGTTTCTATGGGCCCGCTAAGGCTGGACCGTTGCGCTTGCGCGAGGGGTCGCACGCAGTCACGCGCCGCAAGGCGCTTCCGGTGCGCCGCGAGGGCCGCTGGGACGGGTCTCCCTGGCAATCCGCGGTGTGCTGCTGCTGCTGCTGGTGCTGTTGCCGCTGCCCCCGAGCCGGTGCTGCGGTGACGCCAGTCTTCCTGCTGTCTTCCTCGAGCTCCCCGGGGTTTGATCCCCGGGGCCCTCGGCAGGCATCTGGAAGGAGCCCGGGGAACAAGCCTGAGCTCCTACACTTGCTCTTCCCAACCCCATATCGCGACTCCGGGGAGGAGGAGCGAGAGGGGCTATCGCGACTCCGCACCGTGTGTCGCCGGGCGGGGCCGCGGGGCCGGGGCTCCTCTAGCCCCCGGGATGCGCGCGCGAGCCCTCGCCTCCACTTCCTTGTTGCCGCTGTCACGACTGGAGCCGCTTCTCGCCGACAGCGGGGAGCGCAGGTGCACCCGCCAACCCTCTTGTCGAGCCTCAGGGCCGGGCGCCTCCGGGAATGTGAGTCGCGCGGCTGGCACGCTCCTCTGGGTAAGTCCCCGCCCTGGAGGGCCATGCCACGCCGCTGACCCTCTGGGCGACCTCAAGCTGGTTGCTGCGGCACTCTGAGCCTGCTGTTACCTCTTCCACAAAGTAGGACCAGTGAGCTTTAGCGTCCTTCCGCTGCCCGTGTAGGGTATCCGAGACCCAGAAAGGGAGAGGAACTAGCCAGAGTCAAACCGTAGCCCATGCCTGAGCCATCAAAATCCATCACATTAGGTTCTGAGAAGGACCTGATGGTAGGTACAAAGTGTCTCGCTTATTTCAAGTACTGCCTTTAACTCTGTTTTAAAGATAAGAAAACTGAGATGTAGCGAGGGTAAGAAGATTGCTTAAGGTCATAGGGCTCCGTGCTGGTACTAATAAGCAGCGTAGCCTCAATTAGAACTCAGATCGTCTGTCCTCCAGAGCCCTTGGTTTTCTCACTCCCTCCTTCCCTACCTCCCTCGCCATTGCTGGCTTGAAAGAGCCCTTGGTTTTAACCTTGTACACCTATTGTCCTGCCTTTCTTTATATTGCTATACTGAGGGCTAGGATCTGAAAACAAATTTGGACCAGGCTTAGAACAGAATAGTAAACTAAACGAACTCCAGGTTAGCCTTTTCCTGGCCGCACCCAAGGTGGTTCTGTAGACTTTGTTTCCTAACTTGTTTTGCTCTGGGTGCTGAAACCCTGTGTGCTATTCTTTACAGATGCTCTCCTGCAGTTATAGTTTTTCTCCACAAATCTCTCAAGGGCCAAGAAGTCAATTAAGGGCAAATGAGCACAGTCCTCAGAAAGCCTTAATTTGGGCTCCAGCTTCCCTTACTAGCTTATTGCTTGCCCAGCCAAGTTGCAGACTATGTTCTCTTCCTGGGTTGCACTATTACAGGTAGAATGTAGGTGTTTGTTTTGTTTTCCATTTTCTTTTTTAATGGGAAGGAAATCATTTAAGAGATGACACAGAATGAGAAAGAACCTTAAGAATACTGTATGCTTTTCCTGGGGTTTATCTTTAAAATTGTACATGAAATAATACTGTGTGTCTACATTTTTTAGGGGAACGTTCTTATCTTTCACAACATGATCAAAAGAATTCATGACTGAAAAGGTCAGGAGTCATTAGGTTTAGTCTCTTCATTTCACGGTAGAAACAGCTGAAATTATTATTATTATTTTTTTTTTTTT